CTTTCACATCTACGCATACAAAATCAGAAAACACACTGAGAACTTGAAACCAGCTGGCGTTTTACCTCACGTCGCTTAGTAAGGTAATCGTTTTCTTGCCCTCACGGGGCGTGGCTTATTTCCTTCCCCCTGGCTTCACTTCCTTCGTACTACAATAGCAGAGACGCCATCTCCATGTATTCTAACCTCCTTGGCTTTAACACTGAAATCTATGGCGTTTGTACCACATAACTGTTTTTAATTATTAAATGTGATCATAGACCTTATAAGAGATAGACTAACCCAGTGGGCGGAGCGCGCGTCACCGACATGTCGGCAAGAAAGAGTAAGGACGATCTGGTTTACTTTAACACTGAAACCTATGGCGTTTGTATCACATAACTCTTTTTAATTACTAAATGTGATACGTTGTATAGTGATGAGATTATGAAAGCCACAGTTTTTTGCAAATAGGATTTAATATATCTCATTAAAGCACTTTTTACTGCATTTCGCGCATTTTTTTCCACGCGTAATTTTTGTAATTTTTGTACTTTTGTATATCTTTACTTTGGTAAAACGGTAAAAACTCTAAACACAAAATTTATGAACTTAATTTTGCGTAAAAATAAAGTAAAATTAAATAAGATTGATAGTACGCGATGCTTTGAAATAAATAAGGTAAAATTAAACAAGATCTGACAATTTTTTAATGAACATTTTCATGCAGTGATTTTCCAAACTATAATAACCTTACAAAACGATCATATTTATTTGATTATATGATCATTAAATTATTAACATTAAAGTGGATTAGTTATTTTAATAATTCATAAAATTCGGAGCATAGAATTTTCTAAGCGTAATAAAGGGAAAAAAAATAGATAAAATAAAATCTAGAAGCACTTTTATTTAAAGTTTTGTGTGTTAGCTATATTTATTGGATATCATTTTCTTCGCCCGTAAACCACATACATTTGAAAACAGCATATCTTTAGAATTTCCGCACTAGAGATAAAACTGTTATTTTCCGTACAGTGCTCGCTCTGAACTCGTTGAGTTTGTTAATAAAATATTCGTTAAAGTTTTACAAAATATGGAATAGATTAAAACAAATTCGAAATTCGGCCGTCCAGATGTCTATATTCGGGTGGAGGATTAAATTATTCAAACTTTGATGGCTCTAGATACTGTCGTTTTTGTCACAGTGCGAGAAACATGCATGTATTCATGCAGATTCTTCATTATTTAATTTCTTTAAATAAAACACAGTGCGAAAATATTTGGTACCAACAATTTGCAAGGAGACACGGACATTTATATTTAAACAGCGCATAATGCCGCTTCGAAACTAACAGCCTTTCTAGGCTACCGCCCCTTTGGGCTAATAAATTAAATTAACAGTAAATAAAAAAAATCTTATGCGGAACTAAGAATAAATTTAAAAATAATCGCTTTAAAATACAAGCAAAATTAATTATCACGGTTAAATACAATTTTAATATTAGAATTAAATGTATAAAAATTTTTAAGGAGTGTTATAGTGTTTATCACTATGATGTATTATGAAACATAATTGAAATAAAATTTCTTTATATAAATTGTGCTACAATACTCATCTATAATTTTAAAAAAGCAGTACAATTTAGAATTTTAAACAAAACTTTCAAAAATTCGTTTTTAAATATTTTAGTTACTTACACCAATAAAAAGCATAAAAATTGCAATCTATTAGTTCAGGTTTAAAGTATTATTTTTTAAAAGAAGTGGTTACAAATTTCCTTACAGCATAGGAAAAGCTAAAAAAATATCCAGTCCTGAAAGCATGCAATAGCTTTATAATTATTTGGAACGTTAATTATGCTTGATAAATATGCTAAATTTTTAAAAATCAATCTCAGTTTCAAAAATAAAAATATGTAGAAATTCAAATTTGTGAAATGAGGCGCTACAACCAGCTTTTTCTTGACAATTATACACGCGGTAATAGGCAACCCCTATTAAATTCCTGCAAGTCGTCCCTACTCCTCAGAATGTGATCAAGGTGACAGCCGGAAACGCGTCAGACGAGGGAGAAAACCCATTTGGGTTTGTCTATCTCTTATAAGGTCCATGCCCGGTCATGAATCTGAATAAAGCAATGAAAATTATTGTTATTCTTGAATTATACTTTTTTATAGAAACATATGGCAGTGAGGGTTAGTTTAACAAATCTATTTTATTTTGTTATTAAAGACAATTTAAAAAAGTGAATTTTTAAGACCAGCAAAAGTATAAATTATTTGTGACCTCTGTAATTTGCAGTTCATGCCACCATCCTTGAGATAAAAATCCTGTAACATTTTATTGGCCACGCTTCTCGCTTAAAATATTTACATAGGTTAAAGTTTATAGCCCTAAAATAGTGCATAATGTTTAATGTAGATGTAAAATATTCTTTAATGTTTTGTTATATTCATAACTGAAGCTGTAGAAGGAGGCGGCCACAAACAACGTAGGGCGGAGCAAAGCGTCAGATCATAAAAAGTGACCGTAATATGGTGCCATCTATCGATGCTAGATTTAACTAGTTCAGTCATGTAAATAGATAATATTATATACTATGTTTTGAAAGTGGCGATATGGAATTTTCAATATCATATGTTATATTAGTTTCTCAATATAACTTTTCTCAATATTTGTTAAAAATGTATAAATTTTCATTTCAGTTTTCATTCCTTTTATTTTTTTCCTCTTTCATTGCTTCTCGTTTTCGGTTTAGCTACATGCTAATGGGAAAATTTTTTGTGCCCATTTTGCTGAATGTATTAATAAAGTTCTAGCCTAAAAAGGCACTTTTCATTGGAAGAGACTGGTTATATGTTATTAAGTAAAACGGGTACTCTATTTCTGTTAGACTCAGCAGCGGCCTAGCGGTAAAGTAACTGAACACTGACAGTTCGGTCCGGATTTGAATCCCTCGAAGACACAGTCTATTTTCGTTGTTTTTCCCATTTTTAACATGTATACGAGGCAGTTTTCCTTAGAAAGTCCTCCACGAAAGCATCCCTACCCTTAGGCAAATAGTCCTCTGGCTTTGCCGTAATTATATAAACCAAACTTACTTCTGTTAGGTGGCCGGTAAACCAAAAACGAGAAAGAGAAGGAATGAAAGAGGAAAAAAAATTAAATTAATGAACATTAAATAAAATTTTATACATTTTTAACAGATATTGACAAAAGTTATATTTTATAAGAAAAACATTAATATATCATATTATATTGCAAAGTACACAGCGCGACTTTCAAAACAATGTAAATTATATTATCTATTTACATGACAGATATAGTTAAATCTAGCATCGTTAGATAGCACTAATTTAAGGTGACTTTGAAACTGTCCTCAGAATACTAACTAATAAATTGTGTTTTCACTTTTTATCAAGTGTTATCATTAATCACGCTAAATCCACGAACACGTAGAACGTAACAGTATCATGCTAAACAGTCTACTACTGGGCAGTCTAGTTTAAAACCAAAAACAACAATTTTTAAGTTTCACTTTCTATATTTACTTCATGCCTTATGTTATTAATAGCAGCTTTTGCTGCCAGCCGTCATCTGGCTTTTAAATGTACTGGAAAAATAGCTGAAGAAAACACCAAACGTTAAATTTGAAAACTGCGTAAAATTTTACTCTGCAGAAAAATTTCATAAAAAAAAAAGTTATTACGTATAACAAAATTACAATGAAATAAGCAATATCCCTTAATACAAATATTAATTACCTAATAAATAAATTAACCAACATCCCTTTGCAAAATCTTATGAACTCAAATGGTATAAAGGAGGTAAGAAAATTTTTTCCTAAAAAAATCACTCAAAACTTTTCAGTATCTTAAAAACAGTGAAATGAGCAATAAATAACATAAAAGAATACAAAAAACAAAAAATTCTGAAAGGCAAAGTATAATTGATGATATTTTATCTTATATTTTTAAGAGAAAAAAATTACAACGAAATAAGCTATATCGCTTGATACAAATATTAATTACCTAATAAAAAGAATTAGTCAACTTTCGGCTGAAGAAAAAAAAACATGCAAAACTTTTCAATATCTTACAAATAGTGAAATAAGCAAAAAATAACATGAAAGCAACTTAAAAAACATAAAATTCCGCGCAGAATATTACTCTACAGAACAACTTTATCAAAAAAAAAAAAAAAAAAACAATAAAGATGTATTATATATATATGTAAATGACAATGAAATATGCCAATTTCTTAAAAACAGTGATATAAGGAATAGGATGGAAAATTGTTGCCAAACCCATATTTTTAAAAGAAAGAAACTATTCAAAATGATGCGATTTCTATCAACAACAATAAAACAGGAAAATTGTTGCCAAAATCACATTTTTAAAGATGTGAGATGTGAGAAGTGTACTCGGAAGTTTCATTTAAGGAATTTTTAAAAATACAAAATATTATCATTTTTCCAAAATTCTTTTTGTAAAAGCAGTCGCAAGGATGAAAGTTTAGCGTGTCCAAAAATCAAAGAAAAATAAACTGTACGTTTTTAAAAATAAACTTTTTCAGAAAAAATCCTATTGAAAAGGGGTTAAGCTTCCTTTGTTAAATAAATTCGTATTTAATCGATTTATTGAAACACGAAATTTATGTTAAGTTTGTAAAATAGCTAAGTGCTTACGTTTCATGAGGATGTGAAAATGGAGTGTGTAGAGTAAAACTCGCTTTCCTATAGCCCATTATGTCTCAAAATGACGCGATTTCGTCACAAAACATAAATTAAAAAAATTCAAATTCGAATTTCGAAAAAATCGCTTCGAGGTGCACTGGCTCTTGTCTACATGCACCTATGTACCAAATTTCGTAACCGTGGATCAATTTGCTTACATGCAGCTCGAACGAAAGACACACATACAGAGAGATTCTTTTTTTTTTTATTAGTAGATATTTCTCAAGTTTTCTGTAGTCTTTCCTGTTTTAATTAATTAAATCTTTTCTCAAATTTGTTTCAGATTTGCTGAGGATGGAGCAAATTTTTCGATTAGTAGAGATGATCCTACATTGATACAAAGATCCCTTGATGATGATTACGAATTTCTCCGCTGCTTGGGCTTGGAGGAGAAACATTTTATAAAAGCTGTAAGCTAGATCTTTTTATTGTCATTAACCTACATGAAACATCTAAAGGCTTTTAGGTTAATTCGCATGAGTTCTTTTTCACTGTTCACTGACTGAAGTAATGTGTTGGTTATAACGTTTAAATGGGGAATTATTCTGTGATTAAGTTTGTTTCGAAAAAAATATCTTAACCGCAAAGAGGGACATGAGTAGATAATTAATCTTCTTCGTGTTCTTCAGTAAATTAATGGGTAAAACTATATCTCATGGGGTATCAAATCTGTAGAAAACGATTTCGATGAAGGTCGATCATTTGAGGCACGGACATAAAAAATATTATTCGTGTCCAAGAGAAAATATTGAATGATAGCAACTTAAATACAAAGCAGATAGCAGCCAGGTGAGACCTACCTAAAACCATTGTGCACCTTTTCTTGAACACCTTCATATGATAAAAGTCTCTGTAAGATAAATACTCTAACTTATTTTTGTTATTCGAAAGCAGCAGATGATAAAAGTCTCTGTAAGATAAATACTCTAACTTATTTTTGTTATTCGAAAGCAGCAGATGATAAAAGTCTCTGTAAGATAAATACTCTAACTTATTTTTGTTATTCGAAAGCAGCAGATGATAAAAGTCCTCTGTAGAAAATACTCTAACTTATTTTTGTTATTCGAAAGCAGCAGATGATATAAAAGTCTCTGTAAGATAAATACTCTAACTTATTTTGTTATTCGAAAGCAGCAGATGATAAAAGTCTCGTAAGATAAATACTAACTTATTTTGTTATTCGAAAGCGCAGATGATAAAGTCTCTGTAATAAAATACTCTAACTTATTTTTGTTATTCGAAAGCAGCAGATGATAAAAGTCTCTGTAAGATAAATACTCTGACTTATTTTTGTTATTCGAAAGCAGCAGATGTCAATCAAATTCAAAAACAGCAGTGTGTATTCAAGGAAACTGAAACTCCAGATTTAGTTTTAACTGATTTTTATATTGTAGAAACATTAGGTTAATTGGAAACAGGAAAGATGGAAAATGAGCAACTCCTTCGCTGGGAATCGAACCACGGACCTCTGAAATACGCGCCCAGCGTGCAGACCACTACACTCCGAAGGCACTACCTTATATACTTCCCCTTTTAAAGGGCGACTGGTGTTTAGGGGACCCAATTTCCAAAATCCTGTGTGTGGAGAAACACCATCCACCACCCCTTGTTTAGTTCGGACGCCACTATAAAGACACTAAGTATTTTTTTAAGAAGGAGACGTGAAAAACGAGCAGCGCCTTCGACGGGAATCGAACCACGGACCTCTGGAATACGCGCCCAGTGAGCAGACCACTACACCAAGAAGGCACGCTAAGAAGGAGAGAGAAATACCTTATAATATGCTCTCCAAAGTGAATTATGACTGCAATCTGAGTATTCTGTTCGAAATTTAATGTTGAGGATACCATGAAAAGAGCGGAAATGACATATTTTGGGAACAAATCTTAAGAATTATTTCTCACGATACAGTTGCTCATAAACGATGTGAAAAGTGCACCAAGGGTAAAAGGATACTGTAGTGAAAAATAATCTATTAAAACTTCCTCTGTTTCTTTTAGAAGTATATCACGCTGAGAACATTTGGACCTACCTACGCATATGCCACAGAAATAAAATTCAATAGTTAAATTAAAAAAAGAAGGAAATGAATCAAACGTTTATTTATCTCCGATTTAGCTTACAATTTTGCATAAAAAAAATGCCTTCGGTATATAAATATTTTTTTTAATGGCGGGCACTTACCTGTAACGGCATTGGCCACTACTAAGATCACTACTAAGTGATGGCCATTTTATTGTGCAGGTGGTCTAATGTGCGGCCACCGTTGCTTTCTATGGAGGGACAGACAATTTTGCATCCATTCTTCGGGATTCGAATTCAGGCCCTTCGATATCGGAGTCAGGCTCCCCTAACCACTATACCGTCTGGGCGGCCCTTTGGTAACTATAATATTAAATTCTCGCTTACAAACATTAATCTGCGATTTTACATACTTATATTATTTGGAAAATGTGACACTGTAAAAGGTTAGTTGGCTGTTCATGATAATCTTCTGAAATAAAATAATTTGAAACCTAAACATTACCTACAATTTCATTATAAATAATTTTAATCGTAGACAATGTATCCCTATAAATTTCCAAATTTTCGGTTGCTTTAACCAATATTTTAGAATTACTGACTGGGATATAAGAAAAAATGTTCTTCTATACCCAAATGCGCAAAAATTGAAAGAACTCTGCAGAGTTCAAGGAAGATTTATTATCCTATTCCTCCTCTACTTCTGTAAAAGACGTGTTTTTATTCTGTATTACAACTTGTTGGCAGATGAAAGATTGTAAAACCGAACTAATATCATACATGCGACTATATAGTCAGGTAGTACCAAAGAATCTAATCCCCTATAGATTCTTTGGTAGTACTGTTTGTCTATCATAAGAAAAGCTCTCGCCAGTTAGTCTGCAGTTGTCTGTTGCCGTAGAAACGAGACTTGACCCATTTTTCGTAGGGATGTCTTGAAGTCTTTTTTCATCTCAGCCAACAGTCGCCAAAAACGAAATAACAATAAAGCAACCCTTCGTTCGCTCCTATTTGAAATAGACTAGCCCTGTTGCTATAACGACCGCCACCCGCCAGACACTGTGGCGAGGTTATTCTTCTCGTAGACAGACAGTAATGAAGGCTGAAGAATTCAAACAGTTTATTACTACGGCTTTGCGCCTGATCGCGCAGTTTATGTTTTATTTGAAAAAGGTTTATCATTCCCATGCTAATTTATAAATGCAAATATCAAAATTAATTGTCTCAAATTTATAAGGTAACTTTTTTGTATTTTTTTAAAGAAATGACATTCATTTTGACAATGAGAAAATTGGGGGAAATGCTTAAGAATGCTTGAGAACGAACTCTTAAAATTCAGTTTTATTTGTACAGAGTTTCTTTAGCATATATTTCATTTCGTCCTGATATATCCATTTTTTTATATTTTCAGAATTTCAACGCAGCTCGTAGCTCATTCTTACCAGAAGAAGAGAAGAAAGATCTGCTGGAGCAATTAAGAATCGCTTATAATATACAAAAAGATGAATATTAGCCATCTTCTATTTACTATTTAAATAAATAAGTATTTTCGACCTGGGAACTACATTTACATAGTTTAATTTTCTTTTGTAATGACTGTTTTACACTGTAATTTGAAAATTGTCATTTAATAAAATATATAGTTTACCTAATATAACAAGTATGCATACAATAATACATATAAGCGAGCCTAAAATATACAGCACCTGGAGAATTTCGTTTTGAATTTTTATTTATTTCAACAAAAGAAGCTTTTTCCAGTTTAGCTGATGAAAACAGGATTTTATATTTGTCAGGAGGAGCAATAAATTCTGCGTTTTTTGCACTTGAAAAAGAAATAAACTTTTATACAAGTAATAGAAGTTTGTGGTACTTACATTCATAAGATCAGAAATGCGCAGAGTCAACACAACACAGGATCGATACTGCACAGTATCGACGTGGCTTAAAATCGATTACCGGGACATAATCGGTATTAGATGCCGTCATAGTAAGAGCAATACGATAAAAGAGAACATCTAGTAGCGATGTAATAAAAAGTAGATATATTAAAATATATATTTGATAATTAATATATTAATATAGGTTGTAACCTTCACAGAATCGTCATAAAAAACAATCGACGCTAGACACAATCGAGATTGACGTAAGATCGACGTTGTGTACTATCAGCATATAATTGACATTGCTACGGCGAAAACAATGCTTATAACTATTAATGCCGCACCTTCTAGACTGTAAGAATTTTACTTAGTCGTTATTTTTTTAAAGGATCCAACATTAGATCTGGTTTTGAACCAGAGTTTTGGCAAAAAATGCAAAAGTTGAAACACCACATCCAAAAAATTTGATGTGGACAACACGACTTCCTTGTACGACTTCTTTGTTTACATTTTTTGCCGAATTTCTTTTAAACTCATTTCCCCGAATTTCATTAGAGATATATGTCTCATTTATGCAATTCAGTTCTTACTTCGCGGCAGGGCAAAAATGCAAAAAACTTAAAACATCTTCATTCAAAATTTTAAAATACCAAATACATATAAAAACAGTTAAGAAGTGGTATTACAATTAAAAATTAGAGTTTCTGCTCAAAAGAAATGATTGCTAAGAGACACTGCCTTGTATACACGTTTCCGCACGGGGGAAACCATGAAAACAGACATGCAGCCAGCTCGTTTGCGGGATTTGAACCTCGTACCGAACTATCAGTTTCAGCGAGTTTGCCGTTCGGACACTAGGGGGGTCGGAACTAATGTTTTTAGAAAAGAAGCAATTGCAATCGCAGTAGCTACTTCATTAAATTTAAGCAATAACATTCTAGATATTAACTTAAATATATAGTTATATTTAAAAAAATTGCCATAGTTTTCGTTTATTTTACCTTTTTCAATGCATTACGTATTTAAAATACTGAAATACGAATTGAAAAAAAAAATTTTTTTTAGCGTTAAAATTATACCTGAAAAAAAAATCGAATTGAAATTGTTTTCCATCTTTCTTATTATAGGTAAGTCCTGTAATAATTCTAGGAACTTTTAAATTGAATTTTTTTGCAATTAGCTTATGTGCGATAATCATCGTAATAGCTTAATGATGTGCAGTAAAAGCATTAACTTATTGTATGTATAGGGTATTATTGTTATTATTGTAATAATAACAATACCCTATACAAACAATAAGTTGTGATTGTGTATTCCTTTTCTTACATTTAGAGATGAAGTAATTTTCTGTATGCTAATTGTAATTTGAATTTGTTTAATTTCTTTAAATTGAATTTGTTTGCAATTAGCTTATGTGCGATAATCATCATAATAGTTTAATGATGTGCAGTAAAAGCATTGACTATAGGGTTTTATTGTTATTATTACAATAATAATAATAACAATATTACCCTATACAAACAATAAGTTGTGATTGTGTGTTCCTTATCTTACATTTAGAGATGAAGTAATTTTCTGAATGCTAATTTCGTGTCTTAATAAAAAAGATAGAAGTCTGATTAAAAAAATAGAAAGTATAATTTGTTTGTTGGAAGTTATTCTTGCAATTTTTGTGTGCAAGCAGAACATACAAAATACGTTCAGTCACTTCATGAATTATTAATTCGTTTGGTTCTGCCGATTGAAACCGAAACGAGAGGCGCACAGTTACATGTTATAACAGCCCCATATACACAGTTTCAACATTCTAAGGATACTCATTTTTGAGTTATGAGAGATATATACATACGTACGTCAGTACAGACGTCACGAAAAAAAATCCCTTTTGAATTCATTTTAAATCTATTTTACAATCCGTTTTGGAAATGAAGTCCTGTGCGTAATTACAGATGTCGCTCAAAAAAAAATAAAATAAAATAAATAAATAAATAAATAAAATAAAAATAAATAAATAAATAAATAAAATCGTCCAAATGGATTCGGAAACAGTCATATTGGATATTTTCATTGAAATGTGATACACAAAGTTTGTCGGGATTAAATATATAATAAGAGAAGCAAAAAATAGAAAAATGTAATATTTAGTCATATAATTAATGCATTAGGAATTATTTTATTTCATGATAGCGTCCTGTTTCTTATCTGATAATGCATAAACGCCAGTTTTCCTGATGAAAATGCCTATAAAAATTCACTGGAAGTTTCACTTGCTTAAAAAAAATGTGTTGAATTGCATCTCCACCTTTTCTTTTCTTCTTCCTTGCCATTTTAATTTACATTTAATGAACAATGTGATAAATTTAAGAATTTTTATATTTCAGTTGGTTGTTTCATCAAAAACTTGCTTAATATTTTATTTAAAAAAATTATTCATTTCTTAGCTGAATTGGATTAAATTCTTGATGCAGCATTTTTTAGGCGTATATTTTTTAATTATCTCGTTAGTATTTTGTTAATATATTTCAAGAAGTACCTAATTATTTTACGTTATTGTTTAGATTATTTTCATTAAAAGACAAAATAATACTTGTGCATCCTTTTTCTGTGGTAGATTTCTATCTAGAAAAGTGTTTCTTCTCCATTCGCTCTATTCGTATATCTCTGTCACTCTCACGTTCTTGGTCAACAGGTCAACCTGATCACATGGATTCCTCCATTTTTATTTTTTCATTTATCTCTTCTGTTTAACATTTAGGCTGTGTTTTTCCTGTAATAGCATACCGCGTGCAACCCTACAGTTATTAGACCAAAGGGACGTTAGACCCAAAGGGGCCATAGTCTCATAACGCCATTTTGCATCATTTTACTTTCTGCGTTGATTCACTTTCAAACTGTTGCCACCAAATATTATCGCCATGTATTATACTTAAAGAAACTAAATAATGAAGAATCTGCATGAATGGTTCTCGGTCTGTGAAAAGACAACGGTACCTATTTTCAATAATTATCAAATTTTGAATAACATAGTTCTCTACTCGAATATGGGCATCTGGAAGCCCAAATTTCGAATTTCGAATTTTTTTTATTATCTATTTCATAATTTTTAAAACTTTAATGAATTTTTCATTAACAAACTCAACGATTTCAAAGCGAGCAATGGCAATACTAGAAGAAAATTATCTCCAGCGCGTTAGACTGTGTATCGGAAATTCTAAAGATATGCTCTTTTTAAATATTTTATGATATTGCTGTTGAAATGAATTTTATGGTTTAAGTACAAAAAGCATGCTATTCGATAAATAAAGGTAGAACACGAAACGTTAAAAAAAAACGACCTTTTGGGGGTAGTATAAAACCTGAAAGTTTTTAGATACTTTTTTTCCTGACTCATAATTGCTAAATTTACATTTTTTTTAAAGTCTAAATAAATGTAGGTGTGCAGTGTGAACATCCAAGTAATAACTCCAAAACGGAGATGAAAGGTCAGTCTCTCATAATGTTAAGCTATAATGTTATAAGGTCAGCTGGAAAACATTAAGCTTATCTTCATTAGTTTGGACTTAAAACTAGAATTTATATGTAGGAATAATTTTTTAATTTCTTATGTATTCATAATTATTGAGTTAATTAATAATTTTAGAATTATATTTATTGCAATCAGGATCAGCGCTAGTTGTTTATTAGCTCAAAAGGTCTCTTAATTAAGACACAATAACAGCCGAATAAATACTAATTCAGAAGTCAAACAACAAAAATCAGCGTTATGTTTTCAAAATTTTCGCAGGACTAGTTTCGATGGTTTTACCGAACCACCATCCTCAGCCGCAAAACCGCAAATGAACAAGATAGGAAATAATGATTAGATAAGATAAGAAAGCCTGGACAAAGAATAAGCAAGTGGCGCCATCTGTTGGTGAAACCAGAACTAAAACATAATTCCTTTAAAGGGCGAAGGCAAAGATGGATTGGAATTAGGATCGTTAACTAGAACAGAAAGATTTTTTTGAATGTGAAATGCCTATAGAAAATCCAGTTCTCCAATGGAAGATGTTTTTTGAATAATTTTGGCAGCAGAAAAATTGAAAGTGTCATTTTCGGACCAACAATGTTGAGCAACAGAAGACTTCTGTGTTTCCTTTTTCCTAACATATGCCTCATGTTCCTTGACGCGAAATTTTAAGGCTCTCTTAGTTTGGCCAATGTAAATCAAACCACACTGTCTCTTAGTATTGAAACGTGAGTTTGTATCGAATCACTATAAATGCTTCCTTTCACTTTTCGAGTCTGTAGCCATTCAGTAACCTGTAATTCTTTCAAACTGAATCTGTTTTTCTAAATTATCAAACTAAGCGATTTGAAAGCTATAGACGAAGTTCTTGAGAATATTCTTTTCTTCCTTTTGAATCGGATTGATTAAATAATAAAAATGTATTTAATTCATGACTTTTAATTAAAGGCTATAATTAAAGATACTCAATATTTTCAAAGAATGACTTGATATAATTTTTTTATTATTTATTTTACATTACGTAAAACTTTAACGAATTTTATTAACAAACTAAACGATTCGAAAGCGAGTAGTGTCAACTCTATACGGAATAAAACATTTTTATCTCCAGCGCGCGAAACTGCATAGCAGAAATTCTAAAGATCTGCTTTTAAGCAATTTTTTTTTTTTAAATTTTTTTTATTTTGTTGTTGAATTGAATTTTATGTGGCGCGAATGCGAAGAATATGATATTTATTGTAAAGTTAAGGCATAAGACAGG